AGCAAGAGATTCGATTATTACCTTATTGCTTTTGTCAGACTTTATTGCTAATCAATTATTTTCGCTACAATAACATTCGCCTGCCGCCCCTATATCTTTTTATTTTCTCTTTTTTCTTTAGTTGCCTGCAGCAGACGTTTAGTCCTTGATATCATCGACATCCCCACGAAAAACTGGAGTATCTCATTTATTTCTTGTGAGCATTTTATAAGCGCCCCCAAGTATTTATCAAAAAAAAACTGTAACATATACTAATACGAATCTCTGCGAATGGCCTGTGTCCTCTTTTACAAAATACAATATTGATTCTATCTTGTACACAGCTGCATTATTAGAATTCACGTCTTATCGGAAAAATGTTCATCTTCTTTTAAAGAAATGCTTTGTCGCAGCGTATGTAAATACATAAATACATCTTACAAATTTTGTGAGAACAAAATTTCAGAAACACGTAATTAATAAATAATATATTTAATTTAAATACTGATACATTATTCCTCTCATATATGTCTATATATAAAATTTCTAGTATTCTTGCCAAGTAAAATTGTTAAAGTATACAATTCAAAAATACGAATCTACAATTTACGATATATTTTCAGAGCTATTACAAAATAGCATCGCATATTGGTGCTTCAATTTATTCACGCGTTAATCGGCAGAAAGCCAGAAATATTACATAAAAGTAAAAATTATTTTCCAAGATACACATGAATATACATTTTCTGGCAATTTCGGGATTGTATTCTTCGCGATTGTATATTCGATGTATAAATTATTCTGATCACATCCCAAAAGCGGGAAAGTGATTTATACTCGTAGCTTATAGGAGTGCATATTATTCTTGGTTGGTTGCAATATCGCGCGCTGTCAATATTTACGACTAGCATCAAACGATGTCTCGAATCCACGATAACTTAAATTTTACATTACCCCGTATACGTGTCAGGTGTATTTTACAAATAATGTGTAAGTCTGAGATTCTGTAAATTAAGGTAGATTAATACTACCTTAAAGTTAAATCTTTTTCCGTTCTTTAAAATTGTTATACTTTCTCATGATATTATGCAACTTAGAGAGATACATTTCAGTGATACATTTCTTAATTAGCGATAAGAAAAATACAAATACAGCAGATACAACTAAATTGTATTTTTGCATTTCTGGATTTCTGATTGAATCTACATTGATTACAAAAACAAGTGGTGCATCGGATTTTACTATACTTATCTACTGCATTTAGAACATCAACCGTAAAACGTATAAATTTGAAATCTTGGAATCTACCATTTACTACGCAAACGATTTCTTCCGTGATTGTTCTCAAATTGTAATAGACTCATAGTAGAACCTACTCTCAATCTAGCTTTCATAGATGGTCTATTTTGACATGTTGAAAAACACGATGCTATTTTCTCATGCAGCTTTTGCATATAAGCTGAATATACGAGATGCGTTTAATCGGTCACACAGCGCACAGCGCGTCTAAATTTATTTATTGTGAAAAATAAGCGAATTAAACGAAAGAAACGCATTTTCGCAAATCTGAAAACCTAATCTTCAACCTAATTTTCAAGATAGTAAATTCGTAATTTTTTTTAAATCCGTTCTACTCTCTTTTATATTTCTTTTTATCCCGATATTACTTAATTGTGCCGAGTACAAAATAAAGAGAAATTTTTAAAGCCAATATCTGATTTCAAAGATTGGAAATAAAATTATCCTATTTTTTTATTATTCTTCATAGACACGAGTACAATGTTTCTTATTTCTAAAATAATATACCTTTAATAAACTATGTAATACCATTTTCGTCAGATATCTTTATATAACTGATTGTTGAGATTTGGACAAGAGATGGAATGGAGGAATGAGATGCTTTCTCTCTTAAATTATACTTTTAAATCTAAATAAATTAGATTAAATATTCCACTTTATTTGTATATTAAAATAAATGCCTTTACTTTTAGGCAATCATAATTTTGATGATTGTTATCGAAAAATTGGTGACATCTCTCGCTCTGTAATTTAAACGATATTTCATTCAGTCAATAACACTCACCGCAACCATATTTACGAAACTTTCGATAATCAACGATACTTTTCGTTGCAAGAACAATTGCCAATTGGAAAGCGATAATCCTCGCTGGCGAAGAATCAGCGTTTCGCAAGCACGATTTCGCACCAGATATTTCGTCCGTGGATACTGCGGATTACTGCAGTGACGACTATGCCGATAGCTTTTTCCGGTTTGGTCGGATTGTGCGTCATAAATTACAAGCAGTTTCAGAAACTGTTACGCGTAGATTCGAGAGTGGGCAATCTCCTTGATATATATATATATATATATATATATATATGTGTGTGTGTAGTGGCCGTCCTTCCTACCCTTTCGT